GCTGCCGCTGTCGGTTTTGGGCAACATTTGTTGGTGGGCATTGTGCCCATTTTTCCGTGCCCATGTCGGGCGTCCATGTTTTAGTTGCCGGGGTCCGTTATTGGGCCCCAGCACCACCAAGGATGGATCGGGGACGAAAAACTACTCCCAGGGAAGGGGTCGGGACCTTGGGGCCGCGCATTGAAAGAAACCAATTAGTGACGCTCCGCGTATCCCTACCAGCTCCGCTCGCGCCCCCCGGCCCCCTCCTCCCCGGTTGCCGGTCGGTACTCCACTTGCGGGTCCGGCCGGGTTTCCGTCTGCCCATCCGTGGCCGCCCTCTTCTGCTGGCATCCGCCCAGCGGCTTTTGCTTGGGTCTGCGTGCCTCCGGCAGGGTTTCGGTCCGGCCCCACCTGCGGGTTGGCTTGTGCTCGATGTTTGCCCAATTGTGGCCGCCCCTCTTCCTAATTTGTTTGCAGGTGCACTTCGCGCGTTCTCGCGCCAATTATCCGTCGCTGTGCCCCAGCCTCGGTCATACCGCCCTCTGGACTTCTCCTTGCGGGCCGCAAATCAAAAAAAAGTATCCCTACCAGCGCAGATTGCCGATGCTTACGCCCCTTCTGGGCACCCAATTCGACCTACGACAGTCGATTCACTTGGCTGCGGCCACCCTGGTACCTTCGTAGTAGTCTGGGGGCTTGCGCCCTTGCAACTAATTCCACGTCTGCTGCAGTCCCTGGTCGCCGGTCACCCTGGCCGCCTGCTGCTTCCGACGCGTTGAATGCATCACCTTGGCAGTACCGTTCCCCAGTTTACCGCCAGCCTTTTCCACTCGCCAGCCCGCCGCTGAGGTGCTGCGTGAGGCTCCAGCCCACCGCTTTAGGTTAATTCGTCTTTGCGCGCCCCGCTCTGACTGGACTCGCCGCTAGCGCGCTCGCCTGCGGCCGCTGACTGAGAAAGTATCCCCACCAGCCCATCCAGAAACGATCAGCAGGGGAGTTGGTGAATCAGGGGCGGCAGGATGCATGCAGTCGCGCAGCCGTCTTCGGGAAAACAAGGAGCACGAATAGCTTCCCGCATTGAAGTTTAACATAGAAATCAGTGCAGGCTACGATGGTGCTTCGATGAGGGGTGAGGGGTGTTTCGATGACTCGTAATGGCTGTTGCACTGATTTGTAGATTAAACTCGCGTGCGTTTCGAAACTTGGAACCATCTTGGGGCTCTCTTGGGGTTCTCTTGGGGCCCTCTTGGGGCCCTCCTGGGGCTCTTTCTTGGGGTTCTCTTGAGGTCCTCTTAGGGCCTTCTTGGAGCCCTCTTGGGCCTCTTTTGGGGCGTTTTGGGGCCATCTTGGGGCTCTTTGGGGGGCCTTCTTGGGGCTCTTTTGGGATGCCTGAGGGGCCTATTGGGGCCGTTTTTGTACCTTTTCGCCAAAAAAGATGGGGGGGTCTAATTCCCATTGCCCCCTCGGAGGCTCAAAAATGCCGTCTCGGGGCCCTCTTGGGCCGCTCTTGAGGCGTTTTTGGACGCTCTTGGGGCCGTTTTGGGGCCCTTTTGGACCCCTCTTGGGGCTATCTTGGACCGTCTCGGGGCCATCCTGAGGCCTCAAGAGCCCATCGGAGGCGAAAAAGCGAGAAGGCAAAAAATGCTGGTTTTCCTTATGTGTTTGAAGGATTTGGGCCTCTTGGGGGGGTCCTCGGAGGCTTCGGACAGCACTTGAAACCGTCTTGGGGCCGTCTTGAGGCCTCTTGGACGTGTGTCGGAGGCTATCTTGACCCATCTACCGCTATCTTGAGCCATCTTGGAGGCCATTCTGCACTCTCTGAGGCCCTCTTGGAGCCATCATGGGCCATCTTGGACGCTGCTATGGGTCGGGGCCCAAACCTCCCAAGCAGGGAAAGGAAGGAGGTTGGAAAAGGAAACGCCCTAGACCACCTGCGCCCAGAGTGCTGGTGGGATTCGGATCGTTGGATGTCTGGGTATGCAGCGCCGGGCGCTGCCAAGGGGGGGGGATGGGCTCAGGGGGATCAGCTGAGGGCGGACGCATGGACCCCCCATCGCCCACTGATCGCCGATAGGGGCCCGATTGTGCAACCTGCCATGGAACGTCCGGATTCACCGTCGGTGCCCTATCGCCGATCTATCGGCGATGTGTCGCCGATTCCAGTTCGATGTGACCCTCCCTAAGCCAGTCCCCCCGTATCGTTGCACCTCAGATCAGAGGAGCAAGAGGTCATGATAATGATACGTTCCAAGTTTTGCAGGTTACCCACGATTTCCGAGTGTTCCACACGAGCTGTAGAAACGAGGGCCGCTAGATATTCGGGAAATCCTGAAACGCATCCTAAGCCAATCCAGCGGGGGGTTATTTCAGGGTGGGGTTGGGGAGCGAGCCCAGCTGGATGCTCACACGTCCTTCTTCCAGGAGCCGTTTAGGGCGATGTTCCTCCTGACCCCACCTCTGCCCATACTCCACACGTCCTCCTTCCCGAGTGGGGTCCGAGTAGATGTGGTCGGAGGGTCGCGCCGCATCGCCGATGCATCGGCGACGCGGCTCGATGTGGAGCCCGATTTTCTCCACGCTGGCGGCGTCGATGCGTCGCGCCAACGTCGCCGGCGCAGCGCCGATGCATCGCCGAAGTCGCTGACGCATCGCCGATGCATCGCCGATGCATCGGCGATGCGGTGCAACCCTCCGACCCCATCTTCTCGGACCCCATTGAGGAGGCCTCTAGAAAGGCTCAGGGGGGACGATCGAGGTTCGATGTTTGAGGTTTGCAGGCGTGTTCGTCGCTTTTCGGCTATCTTCTGGCCTCGGGATGCCTTCCAGCGGCTGCGCCTCGCCGAGAGCATTCTGGCGTTGCCCAGATCGCCCCGAACGGCCGTCGGAGACACGAGAAATGACCCGAAACCAGACGACAAGGCTCAGGCGGCGAGGGTCCAAAGATTTGATTCCCTTCTATCGTTTCGCTCCAGAGGTGCTTAATTCGGTCGGGCCGAGGTATAAGATCGAGGTCGGTCCGGGGAAGGTACCCTAATGTTTTTCGTGTTTGTTGGATGTGCTCGTGCATCCTGGGGAGGGTACCCTTGGATGCTCTGTGTGCTTCGGCCCGCGGAGGGTCTCATGCCCTTGAAGGATGTTCGTCCCGTCCGACCGCAGAGGCCGAAAAGGACCACAGGAGAGTCCCACAGGAGGGACGGAGAGCGCCAGATCGCCTGGTCTGGCAGCTGTTTCGCCACGGACCTCCTTGCAATCTACTCACTCAGGAGTCGTGCTCTCGCCTCAATGCTGGCTGCTCCAAAGTTCGTAATGCAAGGGAGGGGGTCACAACCCTCCCAGCCGAGCAGTTTCAGACCCCCCCAGACCAGCCACGAAACGGCGGCCTTTTGCCCAGACCCCCCCCGGAACCGTCCAAGGCAGCTCCAATCAGACCCCCAACAAAAATCAGACCTCCCCCAATGCAAGGCGGAATGGGGAGTACAGTGTTGGTCCGGATGGCCGTGATCCCTGGTAGACACACACAGAGGTGCACATGGCCGTGCTCTCACCCCTGGCCCCTGTGTAGCCGACCTCCTACTCCTCGGCCCACCTCTTCACCCCTGCTGCCATCAGGATGCTTTGCTGTGGTAATGTTTGTCTCTCCGGGCGCTGCTCCTCGACATCAGCCTCCTGGGGTCCGCTGTTGGGCACCAGCACCACCAAGGATGGATCGGGGACGAAGAACTACTCCCAGGGAAGGGGTCGGGACCTCCTCGGGGCCGCGCAGTGAAAAGATCAGATTCAGATCGCCGGATGTCTGGGGATGCAGTGCCAGGCGCCGCCAAGGGGAGACGATTGGGCCCAGGGGGGTAGGCTCAGGGCGGACGCATGGACCCCCCGTCGCCCACTGATCGCCGATGGGGGCCCGATAGCCCACTCCGTCCAGGAGCGTGCGGATTCGAGGAGGAGGAGGACGACGACGACGACGACGACGACGGCGAGGAGGAGGAAAAGGAGGAGGAGTAGGAGGAGGAGGAGGAGGAGGAGGAGGAAGAAGAGAAGGGGAGGAGGAGGAGGAGGAGGAGGAGGAGGAGGAGGAGGAAGAGGAGGAGGAGGCTTCCGGCTCGATGTTTCACCCCCTGATGAGCCAGTCCCCCCGCGAACAGCCTCCCTCGGGAGGCAGAGCTTGGCGCCGCGGCCCCGGACGCCTTCGTCGGCCCTCGTCGGCTTCTCCAGCATCGGGATGCTTCCCAGCAGCTCTCCGAGCGCCCCGGGGTGCCCAGCTCGTCCCGAACGGCCGCCAGAGGCCTGAGCTGCAACCCGAAAGCCAGCCAGCGAGGATCTCTTGGGTCAGAAGCGGCCACGCATCGAGGAGAGCGCCTGGTGGCGGGGCGCAGAAGCCGGCTTCGCGCAGCAGCGTTCGGACCGCCCCCCCTTCCCCTGTCCCTCCCCCCCCCCTTCGACCGTCCCGAGCGAGGGGGCAGGCGGGGTGGGCGTCTCAGAAGGCAGGGGCCATGGGAGTCCCCAGGGCTTCGAAGACGAGACCCCCGCCCAGCCTTCTCGGAAGGCCGCCCCCGCTGCCCCACCCCTTCGCGCGCGCCGCCTGTATCTTAGAGGGGAGGCTCCAGGCCTCAGGACCGTACAAACATCTGGCCGGGCCAAGGGCCTCGACGAATAACAAATTGCATGCACATAATTTGTCTGGCGCTCCACGCGGACCTCCGATAGATCGTGGTTGTGCAGTTGCTGTCCCTGTACGGTCGGGGAGTTGGGGGAGGGGGGGGCACGTTTCGAAGCAGCCGCGGCGTCGCATGCTTGGCCCCCCTCTCCCGTCGCAGGCCCCCTCCGTTTCCCCCTTTGGGCCGCTCGCCCTCCCGGGTGTCGACCGCAGCGCGGCCCCAGCTCGGAGGAGCAAAGAGGGCATGATGAGTTGGAGCCGGCTGGGGGCCTGCGGTGGCCCAGCACTGGTTCGGGCCAACAGGACGGGGGGAGGGTTCGAGGTTCTGGGCTCGATCCAGTGTTTTGTTTTTCCCAACCATCCTGTGGCGTTGGGTCCTCGTTTTGAAGAGACGTCGCCCCGCGTTCCTTCCTCCTTCCTCCTCCTCCCCTTTCCCAACCATCCTGTGGTGTTGGGTCCTCGTTTTGAAGAGACGGTGCCCCGCGTTCCCGCCTCCTTCCTCCCTCCCTCCTCCCCCCTTTTCCCCCTCCCACACCCATTCTGGCACACCCCTCACACGTTTCGTGGCCCCATAGGGAGCTCCACCGAAGGCCCCAGTGGCTGCTCCCGCATGCGGTTCCACCCTCCATTTCGGCACACCCCTCACTCGTTTCGTGGCCCCATAGGGAGCTCCACCGAAGGCCCCAGTGGCTGCGCCCGCATGCGGTTCCACCCCCCATTCTGGCACACCCCTCACACGTTTCGTGGCCCCATAGGGAGCTCCACCGAAGGCCCCAGTGGCTGCGCCCGCATGCGGTTCCACCCCCCATTTCTGGCACACCCCTCACACGTTTCGTGGCCCCATAGGGAGCTCCACCGAAGGCCCCAGTGGCTGCGCCCGCATGCGGTTCCACCCCCCATTCTGGCACACCCCTCACACGCGGCCCCAGCTCCAGTGGCTGCGCCCGCATGCGTTCCACCCCCCATTCTGGCACACCCCTCACACGTTTCGTGGCCCCATAGGGAGCTCCACCGAAGGCCCCAGTGGTTGCGCCCGCATGCGGTTCCACCCCCCATTTGGCACCCCCTCACACGTTTCGTGCCCCATAGGGAGCTCCACCACATGCGGTTCCACCCCCCATTCTGGACCCCTCACACGTTTCGTGGCCCCATAGGGAGCTCCACCGAAGGCCCCAGTGGCTGCGCCCGCATGCGGTTCCACCCCCCATTCTGGCACACCCCTCACACGTTTCGTGGCCCCATAGGGAGCTCCACCGAAGGCCCCAGTGGCTGCGCCCGCATGCGGTTCCACCCCCCATTCTGGCACACCCCTCACACGTTTCGTGGCCCCATAGGGAGCTCCACCGAAGGCCCCAGTGGCTGCGCCCGCATGCGGTTCCACCCCCCATTCTGGCACACCCCTCACACGTTTCGTGGCCCCATAGGGAGCTCCACCGAAGGCCCCAGTGGCTGCGCCCGCATGCGGTTCCACCCCCCATTCTGGCACACCCCTCACACGTTTCGTGGCCCCATAGGGAGCTCCACCGAAGGCCCCAGTGGCTGCGCCGCATGCGGTTCCACCCCCCATTTCGGCACACCCCTCACACGCTTCGTGGGTGGCTCCATGGGGAGCTCCACCGAACGCCCCAGTGGCTGCGCTCGCATGTGGTTCCCCCCCCCATTTCGGCACACCCCTCACACGGTTCGTGGCCCCATAGAGAGCTCCACCGAAGGCCCCAGTGGCTGCGCTCGCATGCGGTTCCACCCCCTTTTTCGGCACGCCCTTCACACGTCTCGTGGCCCCATAGGGAGCTCCACCGAACGCCGCAGTGGCTGCGCTCGCATGCGGTTCCACCCCCCATTTCGGCACACCCCTCACACGTTTCGTGGCTCCATAGGGAGCCCCACCGAAGGCCCCAGTGGCTGCGCTGGCATGCGGTTCCACACCCCATTCTGGCACACCCCTCGCACGTTTTGTGGCCCCATAGGGGTCTCCACCAAAGGTCCCAGTGGCACTGCCCGCTTGCGTCCGCCACCACCCAGCACAGCCCTTGTTCCCTGCGCTTCACCCACCCAGAACAGCGCTTCGTAGCCCTATAGGGAGCTCCACCAAAGGTCCCAGCGGCACCGCCCGCATGCGTCCGCCACCACCCTGCACAGCCCTTGCTCCCTGCCTGCGTTTCACCCACCCAGTACAGCGTTTCGTGGCCCCATAGGGAGCTCCACCGAAGGTCCCAGTGGCACCGCTCGCATGCGTCCGCCACCACGCAGCACAGCCCTTGCTGACCGCGTCTCACCCACCCAGTACAGCGCTTCGTGGCCCCATAGGGAGCTCCACCGAAGGTCCCAGTGGCACCGCCCGCATGCGTCCGCCACCACCCAGCACAATTGCGGCATTCACAACTGCATATGGTTGGGTCCTTCGCCAGGCGAATTGGGGGGGGCCTCCGGGGGGTCCGTGGTCGGGGACCCAGGGGCCAGCCGGAACGGACCTGGCCCGCACAGTTGCTCCAGACGGCCTCCCGGAGGGGTCCAGGGACCGATGTTGACCGGATTTGGCCCCATCACCTGTCCTGTCCGATCTTCCGGGGTCCCAACCAGTGCAGGCCCCCCGGCCGCCCTCAAATGATGATGGTCGGCTCCAGGATTGGCCAGATGTCATGTCCTTCCTCGCGGGCTCCAGCAACGAGGTGCCCCCAGAGGCTCTGGAACCCCTGGAAGAACGCATCCTGAGCCAATCGCAGCGTGGCATCACTCCCGCCCTGATGGCGAGGTGTGCCCGACTTGCGAGGCGGGCGCGGCCGGGACGCCTTTGCCAAGAGGGGGACTCCCTTTATGCCCTCCCTCCTGTCGATGTCACCCTTTTGCCCCCCCTCCTCCTCGCCTTCCCGTCCGCCCTCCATCTCCCCCTCCTTCCCACTTTTCACTCCCCCCCCCGCCTTCCTTCCCTCTCCCCTTCCTCCCTTCTCCCCCTTGCTTCCCTTCCTCCTTCTCCCCTCCCTTCCTCCTTCTCCCCTTCCTCCCTTCCTTCCTCATTCTCCCCTTCCTTTCCTCTCCCCTTCCTTCCTTCTCCCCCCTGCCCTGCTCCGTCTTGTCCACCTCCGCTCCTCCCCCTCACCATCCTCCTCCTCCTCCTCCTCCTCCTCCTCCTCCTCCTCCTCCTCCTCCTCCTCCTCCTCGGCCACTTTGTTGCGTTGATCGAACACACCACTGCGCAGCGGCTGCTTTCTTTTATTTCGAAGCACGCAGAGTGCGCGCACGATGGCATCAGATAAGCTACATTACCTCGGCAGACTAGGAGAGAAGAGGCGGTGCGAAGAAGGTGCGGAAAAGTTGAGTAGCCTTCGCGGGCATCGGAGGCTGGAGGATCAGATCGCAGTGGAACGCAGGGCCCCCCACCAGGAAATCAGTTTCGGCTTCGTGTTCCTGTCGCGCGTGCGGGCGAGGCGAGGCTGCGTGGGCGCGCGCGAGGAATGACCCCGCCGTCGCTAGTGCGAGTCGGATGCAGTGGACCGCCCCTCCGCCTCAAGTGGGCGCGCGGTGGCCTGGGGTGTCCCGCTATGATGTCCTGTGGTGTCCAGCTGGTGTCCCGTTGGTGTTCCGTCGGCGGTGGGCGTGCGGTGGGCGGGGGTGTCCCGTCTTGGCATCGATTGTGAAGTCGAGAATGGGATCGATAAGGAGGTCGCTAGAATGGGATGGATAGTGAGATCAACAGTGAGATCGACAGTGATATTGATTGTGGCATTGGTTGTGAGATTGACAGTGGGATCGATAGTGAGAACGATAGTGCAATCGATTGTGAGATCGATTGTGAGATCGATCGTGAGATCGAAAGCGAGATCGATAGTGCGAACGATAGTGACACTACATCGCAGCGCAACATCGTCACTACGCGTCGTCGCTAACTCGAGGGCGCGTCGTCCTCCACCCACCCCCAGCTTCCCTTCCTCGGCCGCTTCATCATCCTCCCCTTGCCCATACAGTCGGGCCGCTGAAGAAGGAACCACGTTCGTTGGGGAGGGGTGCAGTGTTCCTCAATGGTTTTACAGCTTGTCTGACGTGTTCCTCTGGTGTTCGACAGGATATCGAAACTGTTGCTATGGAAAAAAATGAGGGCCTCGACTGGATTACCCCCCCCTCTTCGACTGGATTACCCCCCCCCCTCGACTGGATTACCCCCCCCTCTTTTTATGGCAGCGCTTCGACTGGACTACCCCCCCCCTCTTCCGCCCGCGCAGGCCTGCCGAGAGACCGAGTCTCCTGGGCCCTCGAGGGGCTCGCCAGGCAGTTCGACGTCCGCCTGGACCTGGAGGCGGGGAGAAGGGGGGAGGGGCACGAGGGCGGGAAGGATGAGGAGCAGGAGGCGCGCGGGAGGACGAGAGGGAGGACGAGGGACGAGGCAGGAGGGCGAGGCTGGGCGGACGAGGGGCGGGAGGAGAGGCGAGGAGGAGCAGGAGGGAGGCGAGGACCGGCAGCACCAACAGGAATGTGAGGCAGCGGAGGAGGAGGAGAAGGAGGAGGAGGATACAGAGCCACGACCCGTCAAGCGATTGAGGCGTGTCAGTGGCAGTGCGCCGACCGATCGGCCACGATTTCCGCACTTCCCATCTTACAATCCGATTTCCCAGCCCTCCTCCTCCTCCTCCTGCTCCTCCTCCTCCTTCTTCTCCTCCTCCTCACTTGTTCCCTTCACGTCTTGCACTCCGTTTCGGGGACTTCCTCGTCTCAGGCTCCCACAGGTGATCCTCGACTTCCACAACAGGTACCACCACGGCTACCTCGGCCAACCCTGCTTGGCACCGCCGGGGGCGAGAACGTCGAACCGCTGCACGTCTACTACCACGAGCGGCATCAGCACGTTCACGACTTGATCAGCATACGCAGTATCATCTTCACGCTGCGCAAGAACTACTACAAAAACATCACAACGCCCAGCAGCCACCTCGACACCCACCCCCTGCTCCAACCATGGCGACACCATGGCGAGCAACCACGAGTGGATCGGGAAAGGCGCCACTACCGTAGAGATCAGCAACGTGCCGCCCACGATCCAGACCTACGACACCGAGGCCCACTGCACCAGCCATTGGTGCAGGACTCGAGCGTTGGACGAACCACCACTGCACGGACCAGTGGGCCAACAACCACCCGGACAAGTCCTGGAGCCAGAACCGCAACGGGAAAGGCAACCACCAGGACGGCAGGGGGAGGAACGACCGGCAAGAGCCCGCCAGCCACGACCAGAAGGGCGAAGACAAGAATAACAAGAGAACGGGCAAGACCAGTTTCGACAAGCAAAAGACGCCCAAGAAGAAACACGACGGCCAGGACTACAACAGCATCTACAACGATCACATCACAACACGATCAACAACGTCATGACCACGAGGCAAATGTACGCCGTCAGGAGGCACGACTGGGAGCAACCCCCAAACGACCACGAGTTGAGGGACGATCGGAAGAATATCAAACACGCGGAGGAGCGACAAGCGGCAGCAGACATCGTCAATAACAGCGCAGCAGCACTACCCACTACTGGCACAGTCGCGCAGATTGCCTTCATCAAAGCGATGGTCCTCAACAGCATGCCCCTGGCCCAACAGGCGAGGGATATCGATAGCGCCAAGAGAACCATGGAGGACTACTACGAGCATGCCAAGGCCCACCAGCAACACATGACGATATACATGAACGAGATCGAGAACAAAGCCGAGGAGCTCACCATCCTCTAGCGCGACACCAACAACGCCAGAGACGATCGTTACAGCGACGCAGAAGCTGCGGATGACGAAGCAGATCAACCACAAAGGAACATGACACAAAGAAGATCGCCTACACCAGCCACAGCCCCAAGGAGGCCAACGAGGGCAGGTGAAATTGCAGACGGATGGGACGTAGGCACCATGCTCAGGATCCTAAACGAAGACAGCCAGCGTATGGCCAACGACATTATGAAAAATTATACCGACGCCAACGACGAGATCAACAGCCTCAAACGACATTTCCGAGCAGCGGAAGAAGCGGCACGGAGAGACGAACATAATCAACACGACGAGGCGACTAAAGCGGAGAAGCATCACAACGAGCTCAGGAAGGAGACGCAAAGTTCCAAGCCGGCGACGGACATGATGGCGGCACGAATACATGCAGACCGTCAACGTGGAGAAGCTCACAAGGGCGGAAGAGAAGCTGGAAGCCATGAGAGATCTGGGACACCAGCCGTACACAACAGACGACAGCCAACTACTGAAATAATTCCAGGAAGTGCAGGAAAAGCTCACCGACAGCAACCACATCCGAGCCAACATGGAGAGGAATCTGCGGGACGCAGAGACGACCCCCTCGAAGCCGAGGACCACGCCGCCAACGTCGGAGCCAAGGCATCCGGAGCCAGGACCAAGGACCAGAATGACAACAACACCCTGTACCAGACATGGGGCGATGCAGAAGAAAGAAACCGACAAGCGAAGGAAGCGCACCTGGAGCAAAACAGGCGCATGGAGGCCACCATCCGCATGACCGACGAGGAATACCAGCTGAGACCCGCCAACATCGAGCGCCACATGCGTAGAAAGGGCGCTGAGAACGTGAAGCAGCAAGAAGGTAACCCAAGGGGGTTCTCACCGACATGCATAACTATAGCAGCAAGTGAACTACAAAGCTTTACTTGCTATAGGACACGTTCAGCCCACACTACAGCGAGCTGCGATGGGCACAGCATAACAAACCGAGGCTTTCCAACACGAGATACAAGCGCTCCGCCACAGGGGGACACAGTGGAGAGTCACCAAAGAGACCCACAAAAGGAGGACCAAAGAAGCTACAGAGGAGTTCCAGCACGCCCGACAGGCGGCTCTCATCGCCCAGCAGCGCCGCAGCAGCGCGGAGATGGCCGACGCCATCAACGACGCCCTCAGTATACCTCAGCGTGCCTATTGACACGGACGACGAGGACTTCCCAACCGCGGCTACCGCTGCACTCCCAAATTGACCACCACATGAACATCCACTGGATGGGATGTTTTTTTTTCTTTTTTTTTTTTTCAAAAAAAAAAAAAAAAAAAAAAAAAAAAAAAAAAAAAAAAAAAAAAAAAAAAAAAAAACTGGCGGAGGACCCAACCATATGCAGTTGTGAGTATCGCAATTGTGAGTATCTTCTTCGGTGGCGCTCCCTATGGGGCCACGAACCGCATGCGGGGTGTGCCGAAATGTGGCGGGGTACACAACGCAAAGGAATACGATAGATCTGATTACGAAAGAAAGAACGCGGGTGAGTCAGAGCGCGAGGGAATCTGAGTATGAATGGGTCTGCGCGCGAATGAATATATTTGCATGAATGCGATCATGGAAACGCCTAGTGTAAGTGTATATGAATGTGAATGGTTCGAGCATGCCTGTCCGAACACACGTGACACTGGGCGTGGCCGCCGCAGGCAGCTTCCGCGGGAACCCCGACGGCAGCGTCCGCACGTCGCGACGCCCATGTCGGCACGCCTCTTGCGAGGATCGCGCCCGCTTTCGGCTCTTCTTTTCCTTCCTCTTTGCCCGCGCACTCCAAAATCCAAGGCTGCGGGCGCAGCGCAGCGCGGAGTCCCCGCGACGCGCGCTGGTCGCCCCGGGCGGGGTCCCAGCGACGCGCGCGGGTCGTCCGCTGCGCGAAGCAGAGAGAGCTGACTAGCTAACTGGCTGGCTGATAGCGGGCAAGTCTCTGACCGCTGGGCAGAGCGACGACGGGCGAACGAGGCGCCGGGCCCCCCGCAGCACGGAGTTCCCGCGACGCGCGCTGGTCGCCCCGAGAGGGTCCCAGCGACGCGCGCGGGTCGTCCGCGGCGCGAGGCCAAACAATTAGTCGGGCAGTCGAGAGAAGGCGCGGCTCGGGGGAGACGCTCCTCAGGTCAGGCCTCGCGGATGAACTCGGTGAAGCCGAGCTCCCTGGCGAGGGCCGTCGCTTCCCTCCTGCACCGCTTCGTGCGCGCCGCAAACTGCTCCAGCTGCTTCCGCAAGCCCTGCGGCGGCCCTGCCAGGAAGAACTCGATGCGCGGCGCCCGCATGAGCAGGAGGTCCTCGTGGCGCGTGGCGCGCGAGAGCAGCACGTAGAGCTCCAGCCACCAGTCGTCGTCCTCCTTCTTGCCGTTCCCTACCTCGTGGCGGCCGCAATCCAGGATCACGCCTGGGCGACGTCGACCGAGGGAGCAGCGCGCCGGGCAGCCGACGGCCCAGGGCGAGAGTCCACAGGACCGAGAGATGGTCTGGCCGCGGACTGCTCGCGCCCGGAGGTCTGGCCGCCCCCGGAGCGCCGTTTCTCCGCCCCGTCGCCTTCGCGCATGGTGCGCCCCTGGCACGCCACCGTGGTGATGACCCTGCCGTGCGAGAAATGCAAGGGGGGTGCCGAAATGGGTGGGGGTGACGCATGCGGGCGGCGGCACTGAGGCCTTCGGTGGAGCTCCCTATGGAGCCACGAAACGTGTGAGGGGTGTGCCGAAATGGGTGTGGGTGACGCATGCGGCCGCGGGCACTGGGGCCTTCGGTGGAGCTCCCTATGGAGCCACGAAGCGTGTGAGGGGTGTGCCGAAATGGGTGTGGGGGACGCATGCGGCCGCGGGCACTGGGGCCTTCGGTGGAGCTCCCTATGGAGCCACGAAACGTGTGAGGGGTGTGCCGAAATGGGTGTGGGTGACGCATGCGGCCGCGGGCACTGGGGCCTTCGGTGGAGCTCCCTATGGAGCCACGAAACGTGTGAGGGGTGTGCCGAAATGGGTGTGGGTGACGCATGCGGCCGCGGGCACTGGGGCCTTCGGTGGAGCTCCCTATGGAGCCACGAAACGTGTGAGGGGTGTGCCGAAATGGGTGTGGGGGACGCATGCGGCCCGCGGGCACTGGTGTGCCTTCGGTGGAGCTCCCTATGGAGCCACGAAACGTGTGAGGGGTGTGCCCGAAATGGGTGTGGGGGACGCGCGGCCGCGGGCACTGGGGCCTTCGGTGGAGCTCCCTATGGAGCCACGAAACGTGTGAGGGGTGTGCCGAAATGGGTGTGGGGACGCATGCGGCCGCGGGCACTGGGGCCTTCGGTGGAGCTCCCTATGGAGCCACGAAACGTGTGAGGGGTGTGCCGAAATGGGTGGGTGGACGCATGCGGCCGCGGGCACTGGGGCCTTCGGTGGAGCTCCCTATGGAGCCACGAAACGTGTGAGGGGTGTGCCGAAATGGGTGTGGGTGACGCATGCGGGCGCGGGCACTGGGGCCTTCGGTGGAGCTCCCTATGGAGCCACGAAACGTGTGAGGGGTGTGCCGAAATGGGTGTGGGTGACGCATGCGGCCGCGGGCACTGGGGCCTTCGGTGGAGCTCCCTATGGAGCCACGAAACGTGTGAGGGGTGTGCCGAAATGGGTGTGGGTGACGCATGCGGCCGCGGGCACTGGGGCCTTCGGTGGAGCTCCCTATGGAGCCACGAAACGTGTGAGGGGTGTGCCGAAATGGGTGTGGGGGACGCATGCGGCCGCGGGCACTGGGGCCTTCGGTGGAGCTCCCTATGGAGCCACGAAACGTGTGAGGGGTGTGCCGAAATGGGTGTGGGGGACGCATGCGGCCGCGGGCACTGGGCCTTCGGTGGAGCTCCCTATGGAGCCACGAAACGTGTGAGGGGTGTGCCGAAATGGGTGTGGGTGACGCATGCGGGCCGCGGGCACTGGGGCCTTCGGTGGAGCTCCCTATGGAGCCACGAAACGTGTGAGGGGTGTGCCGAAATGGGTGTGGGTGACGCATGCGGCCGCGGGCACTGGGGCCTTCGGTGGAGCTCCCTATGGAGCCACGAAACGTGTGAGGGGTGTGCCGAAATGGGTGTTGATGATGATGATGATGATGATGATGATGATGATGATGATGATGATGATGGGAGGGGGGAGGAGGCAGCGGGAGGAAGGAAGGAAGGAAGGAAGGAGAACGCGGGGCACCGTCTCTTCAAAACGAGGACCCAACACCACAGGATCGGGGGGGGGAAAAAAAAAAAGCAAAAAAAAAAAAAAAAAAAAAAAGTCCGACGAGATGCTCCGAGAAGCCGAAGTCCATGCAGCACTCGCACCGTAGGCAGTTAAACCTGATCAGGAACAGCACCATATGTTCACGCCGCTAAGGACGCCGAGAGGGACGACTACGCCACCAGGAGAACCCCAGCAGAGCGACGAGGCTGACTTGCGAACACCACCAGCTTGGACACCGGGATCCATACCGCAAGGCCAACCACTTCCACCGTCCATCCACGCCCCTGCGATCATCGACATCGACACGCCGTCGCCCACGAAGCACAGGGGTCGGCGGCATCACCCCGGCAGAGCAGATGACGCCACAGGCGTCAAACCCATGCAGAAGCTTCATTGGCTCGCCTGGGAAAGGATCATCGGCGCCACAATCGCAGGGACTCCTAGCGCCAACAACTCGGCGCTCACGCGCACGAAAAAACAAGAGGGCGATTACCGACCCAAACGAGCCCCACGCCATTCTCGCCGCGACCCCTGAGGCCGACACCCCCTTCGACACGTCTACGACGGACGACGAAGCCGAAGCTGCTGGGTGCCCAACGGACTCCCGCTGACGGTCGCGCAGCGCTGTTGGACCGCATGGGGACGACGCCACGCACGGGGAGTCTGGCGCACCACCGCCCCCTACGCACCCAGACCGGCGAGACCCACTGCAACGGGACACGAGCGACCTCCACCAACATTCGGAGCACGTAAGTTAGATGGGCAGACTTGAAGGCACTGGCCAACGACGGGGGCCCGCCACGGCGCCGCTCCGCGGCGAGCAGAGCCAAGAACGCCCCGCATGCAGGGCCGCGGAACAACGGGCGGCGTGATGAACGCACGACGGCCGACGACGCTACCATCTTCAGCAGCGCCACAGTGCACCACGACGCCAGCACAGCCCATGGAATGGATTCAGCTGGGACTCAGCGACCGAGAGTTGTAACCGGACGTGGGGCACCCACATCTACCTCGGCTCCCCCGCGACCTCCACCCTGCAGACGCGGAACAGGGTCCTTGCAACCGCGGGGGCAACGCGTCGCATCTCTATGTTGAAGGGCCTGCAATCGAAGCGGCCAACAGCAATGCCCACGAGCGATCGACGTCAACGAACGAGCAATCCCGCCCCGTGCGAGAGGCCCAACAATCGGGAGACCACGTTGCGAGGCGTTCAGCAAAAAAGTGGATAGGCCCACGTCCGCAGTGACATAGCCGATCGCCGACGCCCTCAGGCGCACCCCCCCCACCACCACCTCACCACCGACCTCCCCGATTTACACGAGCCAGAGCGGCCCAACCCAACAGCCGCCATGGCATTGGAAATTGCCCCACCCAGAACCCACGGAGTGATCAAGTGGACCCACCTGCGCACCGATTGCACCCACCAGACTGACTCCACCAAAGACGTTTGGGCTTGGCAATTACCATCGAAGGCAGCGATGGCTCTGCATACCCGGGCACCATGTCAGCCGAAGTCACGGACTCTACGACAGCCGCCATAGACATGCCTAGATCGACGACAGCAGAATCGACGGCACTCAATTGGGCACACGCATGGACAAACAGCTAAGCAGAGCATGACAACAACAGACCAGCAACGGCGCACACCATGCCGCGGGCGCCGCCACTGGGCCCTTCGGTGGAGCTCCCGATGGGGCCACGAAGCGTGTGAGGGGTGTTCCGAAATAGTGAGGTGGCGGCATGCGGGCCCTAGCATTGGAGCCTTCGGTGGAGCTCCCTATGGGGCCACGAAACGCTGTACTGGGTGTGCCGAAACAGAAACATGCGGAGGGCAGAGGCAAGTAGGAGGAGGAGGAGGAGGAGGAGAGGAGAGGAGAGGAGAGGAGAGGAGAGGAGAGGAGAGGAGAGGAGAGGAGAGGAGAGGAGAGGAGAGGAGAGGAGAGAGGAGAGGAGGAACGCGGACGAAAATAGCCTCCGAAAGGCGAGGGTTCCACAATCCCCCGTTCTCTCCTCCCCCTCCTCATCCCGCAACAAAAAACACAAACAGGCGAGGCCCTGACCTCTTCCTCCTCCTCCATCCCCTTTTCCCTTATATCTCCTTGCACATAACGCCCGGTCGCATCCCCAGACGCGTCGGTAGGGCGGGCGGGGCGTGTCGCTTGAGTCTCTTTCACCACCTATGATCTTGAAGCTCAAAAATGCGCAGCAGTTTGACGGATGGAAGGCGGGTGGTTTTCGAAATGTGGTTTTCGCTGTAGCGCCGCGCACACTCGTCGGCCTATAAGTGCACAACGGCTTTCAGGATTGAGGGCTGTTTTTTTATATGTAGCCCTCGTTTCTGCGCCATGCATATTCGCTTTTAAAATTTGGCACCAGCTTCAAAGATGGAGGACAGGTCCTTTTCGAAAAGTGGCTCTCGCTTCTGAGTGCCGCGTACATTCGCTTAAAGAGCTCGCACCAGCTGTAAGGAAGTAGAACAGGTCGCTTTTGTTCTACATGTGTCTCGCGCATTAGCGCCGCGCACATTAGTTTTCAAAGTCTGCTGCAGTTACAAGGATGGAAGGTGGTTTCTTTTCAGAATTGTGGCTCTCGCCTCAGCGCCGCGCACATTCCCAGGAACCGTGTTCTGGGAAGTCACGCAGCAGTCACATTGATTCGCGGTGTTGACATCTCCAGGCATGTGTTCGAACACAGTTTAGGATTGCCAGGACGCAACAGTCACGGTGATCCGCGGCGTTGAAGTCCAATGGATAGTGTCTGGCCGGATTGAGGAGTCTCCAACGGTTATTTTCTAGCGGGCCATTTCCCGCAATGAAATTGATTACTGTAGGGACTTATGAAATGGGAGTTTTGAACTGAGGGTGTGTTGCAATTTCGTTGATGCGCTTTGTGTTCACACTGGTCCTCATCCCCTTCCTCCTCATCATCCGCATCCTTTTCCTCATCTTCTTCCCTCTCCTTCCCATGTTCCTTGTCATCATCCGCATCCGTATCCTGCCCTCCTCGTCACCTGCTCTTTCCTCCTCCTCAACCACTTCCTCCTCTTCATTCCTTGCCATACCGCTATTACCCCTCATACTTCTCATTTGTTTCTTCGTCCTCCTCCTATTTCCTCCTCCTCCTCCTCGTCCTCCTCCTCCTCCTTCTCCTCCTCCTTCTCCTCCTCCTCCTCCTCCCTCTCCGCACTCTCCTCGCCATCCTCCTCCTCACCCCCCCCCCCTTTTCTGTTCCTTGCCTCGTCATCCGCCTCCCCCACCCTCGTCCTCCTGCTCCTCATAAGCCTTCCTGCTCCTCGTCCTCCCTCCTCCCTCCTCCTCTCGACGGAACCAGGACCCACCTCGTCCTCCTGTTCCCTACAACCCTTCTCTTCCTCTCTGGCGTCGCCCTCCTGCGCGGGGGGGGCCCAGGGCGCCCGCAGGGAGACCACGTGGCGGCCATCTGGTCGCGCATGGACGCCATGGGCGTGGAGGGCGCGGACCGCCCCTGGGGCCTCCTCCTTTTTGCTCGCCTTCCTTCCTCCTCCTCCTCCTCCTCCTCCTCCTCCTCCTCCTCCTCCTCCTCTTCCTCCTCATCCTCATCCTCATCCTCAACCTCATCCTCATCATCATCCTTCTTCTCAGTATCCTCCTCCTCATCCTCATCCTTCCTCTCAGTCCTCCTCCTCCTTCCTCCTCCTCCTCCTCCGCCTCCTCCTCCGCCTCCTCCTCTTTCCTCCTGCCTCCTTTTCCTCCTCCTCCTCCTCCTCTTTCCTCCTCCTCCTCCTCCTCCTCCTCCTCCTCCTCCTCCTCCTCCTCCTCCTCTTTCCTCCTCCTCCCCCTCTTTCCTCCTTTTCCCTCCTCTGTCCTACTCCTTCCTTCGCTTTCCTCCTCGTCCTCCCTCCTCCTCCTCCTCCTTCCTCCTCCTTCCTCCTTTTTCCTCCCTCCTCGCGATCCCTCCTCAGTCTTCCTCCCTCTCATCCGCTCTCTCCTCCACCGCATCATCCTCCGCCTACTCCGTCAACTTCCCAGTCGTGCAGCTGGACTGGGCAGTGGCTCTTCAGCGCTAGAGGAAATGGAGGAGATAGGCAGCGAGGAGAGCGGAGGGAGGTCAGAAGGAGGAGTGAGAAGGGGTGAAGGCAGGACGCCGGGGGAGGGAGGATTGGATAGAGAAGGATAAAGATGAGGACCAGTGTACATCCAAGACACATCAACGATGTTGCAAGAAGCCTTCCCTCAAAGTTATTTCTTCATGGGTCCCCACAGGAATGTATGCTCATTGCGGGAAGTGCCCGTTACAAGAGAATTTGTTTGAGAATCATAAATCGCATACAAACACAAGTACAACATAATGTCACAAAAACGAAAAACAATGGACGTCAACCCCGCGAATCCACGCGATTGTTGCGTCTTGACAGCCCTAAACCGTGCCGGAAGACTATTCCTGGGATTTCAACACCGCGAATCAATGTGCCGGTTGCGCCTTGACAAGCCTAAAGCGTGCCAGAACACGGTGTTTCGGATTTCAATATTACGAGTACTTTGAAGTGTCGCAGACGTGTAAGACGAATGCGCGTGGCGTTAAGGCGAGAGCTACATCTTCACCAGAAACAGCTTCCTTTGGTTAAAAAAGCGGCAGACTTTACAAACGAATGTGCGCGGCGAAAAGTGAGAGCCGCAGTTTGAAGACGGCCCGCCCTCCACCCGTGGAACTGTCGCAAATGTGTGAGACGAATGCGCGCGGCGTTAAGGCGAGAGCTACAGTATGAAAACCACCCACTCTACATCCGTGAAAGTATGGCAAACGTTCAGGGCAAATGTGCGCAGCCAGGCGAGAGTCACGTTTTCAAAACCGGGCCGCCTTCCATTTGCGAAACTCGAACGGTTCGGACGTCTCAGGCGAAACAGCCGGCCCTCCGCACTGACACGTCGTGGGATGATTCAGGGAGGAGTTAAGTATCAACAAATCGATGGAGCAGAAGGAGGCCGAGGGATAGCAGCATCCTCCTGCAACCGAATGCCAGCGACGACAGCAAGAGGAGGTGGAGGGCCAGGAGGAGGAGGAGGAGGAGGAGGAGGAGGAGGAGGGAGGAGGCGGAGGAGGACGGGGGAGAAGAACAAGGAAGAGGGGGGATGGGAAGGAGGCAGGAGGGGAGGAGATACGAAAAAGGGGAGGAGAGAGGAAGAGAGAGAGGAGGACAGCTGACCCCCCACCCGGGAGACGGAGGCCCGAACAAAAAAGGGAGAGCAGCATCCGTCCGCGACCCTCGAGGGTCAGCGGGAGCAGCAGCAGCAGGGGCCACAGCAGGAGCATTGGCAGCGCTGCAGCCAGCCCCGGGCTACCGCGGCTCGTGTTCGGGCGTGGGCCGCCGCGAGAGCCGTCGGGGGCGGGCTGGCGTTGCTGCCCCGGGGCGCTCGCGGGCGGGGGCCGCGGCCGGTGCAGGAGGCGCCGGCGGGAGCAGGCGAGGGGGCAGTCACGGGTTCAGCCTCGCGGTGCCTTTGGGGGGGGAAGGGGAAATATAACCAGGCCCAGGCCCAGGCAGAGGACGCAAAGTCCCTGGTCTGTTCCAAGACCGACGCCCAGGAAGGACAAGGACAAGCAGAGAGCGGCCGGGGAGGAGACGATAGGAGGACCAGCACGCTGTCGTCTTCATCTCGTCGTCTTCGGTCTTTTTCTGTCGCTTTTCGTTCACGCATCGCTGCGCGACCAGCAACGGGAGGAGAATCAGTAGCAGGAGCATCAGAACGATCCTCGAGGACAAAACTACGCATCCGAAGCAGGAGCAGTAGCAAGAGGAGGGTAGCCTCAGGATTACGTGAGCAAGGCCCAGTTCTGCCCGGCCCCTAGCGCCGCCCCGCCATGGAGAACGTCGGAGGAAGAGGAGGAGAAGGAGAGACAGAAGGGAGGACGGAGGAGGAGGAGGAGGAGGAGGAGGAGGACAGGGAGGATCGAACATCTAGGTATGGTGTCTGCTTGTTGTCAGAACGCGCCCCTGGACAGGCCTGGATGTCAGTTGTTGACAGGAGGAGGAGGAGGAGGAGGAGGAGGAGGAGGAGGAGGAGGAGGAGGAGGAGGAGGAGTGGAGGAGGGGGAGCGCATGAGCAGGAGGAGGAGGAGGAGGAGCAGCAGGAGAGGAGGAAGCTCCTTGCTGGGCAGCCCGTGTGCTGCTGCCGCCACTGCTGCCGAGGCATGGCGCGGGGCCGGGGGATGGAGCGGGCGCGCTCCCCGACGGGGCAGACCTCGCCCAACAGCCTTGCGGAAAAACGCTGGAGGAACGCGCGCGAAGGCTGGGGCACAGGCCAAGAAGAGAGCAGCCTCACATCTCCGCAGGCTGGCGCAGCGGGTTCCGCGAGGGGCCGCAGGCGAGCGTCCGAGCTGCGCCGGCTGCTGCCGCACGGCTCGCGCCTCGGCCAGCACGTCGCGCCGCGGGGCGCCTGCTGCGCGCGCAGGCCACGCGCTGCGGGGAGTCGCCGGTGCAGCCTGGGGCGCCACGCCCCCGGGCGCTCCTGCGGCGGGGGCGCCAAGACCCCACAGCAGGGGCCTCACAGGGGCGCACGGGGGCGCACTCGAGCTCCCCCCGCGGCCCGCCCAGTGCCCCCCTGCGGCGCGCGCCGCCGGCCACTGGACGCCCGCCGCGAGGAGCTCGTCCTCGGCCTGGAGGTGCAGCGGGCCAGCTGCCCGCGTCTGTTCGCACTTGGACGCGGCAGTCCGCGACGCCGCGTTTGGGGACGCGGCGGCGCCAACAGCGGCAACGCTACCCGCAGGGCGCAGGCCCAGGAGACGCGGGCCGGCGCGGCCGGGCGGCGCTGCGCCTCCGCCGGCTCGCTCGCGATCAGGCGGAGTCGGTGGGCGATGAGAAGGCCGCAGCGTTTGGCCACCGCCTTCAGGCACGGCAGCGGGGCGCCGAGCTCTTCGTGGCCCTGCACCGCACGACGGCGCCGCGGCGCCAGACCGCCCTCGAGGTTGGACCGCGCTGCATGCGCCGCCAGCCTCCGTGCGGCACTGGTTGGCTGGACCTGTGTTGGGGCGCGGTGGATCTGGTCTGCCCAGTCGTCTGTGCGCGATTGCGAAGCAGGACAACAGGCGACAACACACAGTTCGGCCGCCGCTTGCAGCAAGAGGTGGAGGAGCGGGAGGAGGAGGAGGAGGAGGAGAAAGAGGAAGAGGAGGAGGAAGAGGAGGAGCAGCAGCAGCAGCAGCAGGTGCAGCAGGAGCAGGGAGCAGCAGGACGATGACACAGACGAGGAAGAGGAGGAGGAGGAGGAGAAGGAGGAGGAGAAGGAGGAGGAAAGAGAAGGGGGAGGAGGAGGAGGAGGAGGAGGAGGACGAGGAGGAGGACGAGGAGGAGGACGAGGACGAGAACGAGGACGAGGACGAGAAAGAGGAGGAGGAAGAGGAAGAGGAAGAGGAGGGGGAGGAGGAGGGGGAGGGGTTACGGAGTTACGGGTATTGCGACCGTGTCTGTTAATGACTGACTGAAATAAAATCTCGATTTGGCAGCAGCCCGCCTTGCCTTCTCGGAAGCAGTGTAGGCCTCAGGCCAATTGCCTTCAAATACTTTCTTGAAATGATCTGCCCGATGACCCGTGGCAGGTCCGAGGCATTCACCCCCGATTCTCGCAATCCGTTGAGCTGCGAAGCTGCCACACCTGCCACAGAACCAAATCACCAGCCCTGTGCCAAACTTACGTAGATGACTACTGTGAGCCCATCCCCCACATATGTGCACCCGACGCCCATGGGGGAGATCATAAATTACGCCGTCGATAGGCCGCAGTGGAAAACAAGGCGAATCCAGCCAGGAGCGACGAGCAGCCTGGGAGGCGGAGCCTCTACACTGCAGACATGCATTGCCTTTTTCTGAAATAACATGCTGGGTGGAAAACGCTGCACAAACCTTGGGAGCAGGAGGCCTGGGTCCAGGGTGCCGGACTCGGGCTCTCTGTGGCTCCACACGGGAAAGGGCCTGCTCGGCCTCGAGAATTTGAAGGGTACTTAAGAGGATCCTCATGCGACCCAAGTACGCCAGATGCTCGATCTGAGCCACTCGGGCTCAAAAAAACATTCCAGAACTCTACGCAACGTTGCTCCTACGCCTGCCAGATGGTCTGCAATGGTATCGCCTACTGCCAAGAGAGATGGGGAGCGACCAGCAATTATATCCTTGGCCTCTTGGTCAGAATGCACGAACATGACAACCGTGCATGGTGCTACGACTTTTCAGTTCCTGCCCGATGGCGTGCCACAGCTCCCCGTCCTCGCCGTCTGGGTTCTGTGGCCAGCCTGCGTGCCAACCTCCGCACGCGTTCGCATTGTCTGTGGCATGTATGATGTGCCCGTTAGCTCCTCGTATGGCGGTGAGGATGGCAAAGAGCTCGCCTCTGGCCACGGTCTGACTGTGGCCAGGCAAACCCCCCCACACGGCTTCGGAGATCTGCATGGGCTCGCACAAATCATCGAAGATGGCAAGCCCGACCCCAACCCTCCGAAGGCGAGGGTCGTGGATGTCCATGCCCCCGCTCGCATCGCCGAAGATGAAGGTCGGGGCGACCTCGCTGCCGCATCCGAGGATCCCCATGCACGAAGCCATTGCAGCCATAGGTGTGCCATTCATCCTTAGCTTGTGGCGGCGGTACACGCACCCAATCTGCAGGGATCTGCAGGGATCGAGCCCCGCAGCCAGCAGCATGGCTCGGACTCGTGCTGCGCCTGAGCTCTCGGCAGCAGCTCATCACTCATAGCGTTGATGCGGTGCGGCCTCCGCCCAGGGTAGGCACCCCAACACCTGTGGAAGCTGTCTTCAGGCGCTGTCCTGCAGCGGGCGCACGTCTGTGACAGCACCTGCTTCGCTCTCTCCGACCGTCGGGTACGCGGCCACGCCGCTCCTGCAGCCGCCGCCAGCAGAAGGCTTGCCAGCTTGGCCCCGTTGGGCCCGTCCCTCAGCTGCTGCAGCAGGATGCGGCACGACAGGTTGTACACGCCGTGCTGCATGCTTTCGCCGCCGAAGTGCTTGGCAGCCTCATGCCATTGACGGGCCTGGATCGTGCCCTCGAACTTGCGAACGCGAAGAAAAGCCTCGGACACATCAAGTGCCCGAAAACCAGTGAGCCTGTCGAGGTCGAACTCCCAGGCGTCGTACCTGCCGTCCTCAGCGACTGGTAGCTGCCAAGTGGCGGGCCCGATAGGATTCCAGCTTGCCTGCAGCAAGTAGCACACCACGGCGGATTGCGGCTCACGGGTGTGTTTGCTCCTCCGTGGTGGTGCAGCGTCTCGCATTTGTTGCACCACCCCGTCCCAGGTGCGCGTCACGCTTGCACGCAGGGCTGGTTCTGGCACCCAACATCTCAACCACGATTGGAGGCACTCCCTTGGCATCTTCAGCACTGGATCACGATCAGGCGCACACAGGTCGAGAAGGGTGGCGCAACAACGACCAGAAAGCCTCGGGGCAACCGCGTCGCACATGTATGACCTCATAGTCTGCAACCGCCTGCCAAACACGCCGTGCAACTGATGTTCGTAGGCTCCAGTTGCCAGCGCCCCCTGCTGCTCCAACGTCGCCGTAAGCTTGTATACGCGAGTATTCCTCGCAAATCTCGCCACTTTGTTGTGCATACGCGTGTGTTCTTGGTCACGGCAAACCCGAACCGCACGAGCGTGAGCACGACCTCCTCCAACATCATTTCCGAGGCGAGCTGCCTGCGCGGCAGCACGCACAACACATCATTCTGCTTAACTTTGCGCGCGATAGCGCGTGCATCTGCAACCTCAGAACAAACCACAACGCTCTTGTCCGCGATGGTCAAACCGTGCTGCTGCATCTGCTCGAAAGTCGTGATGACACTTTCGGCTAACCTCCGTTCATCAGCCTTACGTGACCCGCGCACAACCTGACTCAGATCATCGATCCACAGCCTGTGTGATAACCCCACGTGGGTAGTGGTGATCTGCTGCACGATGACATGCGTTACTACCTTCGCGAACCCGACCTGGTCGGGGAGAAGGCCGCCGAATATGCACCCGACTGCCGCAGGCACCTGGGGGGGAAGGGAATGGGGAGGGGAAGGGGGAGGACGAGGACGAGGACGAGGACAAGGACGAGGACGAGGAAAAGGAGGAGGAGGAGGAGGAGGAGGAAGAGGATGAGGAGGGGGAGAGGGAGGGGGAGGGGGGGGAGGGGGAGGGGGAGGGGGCAAGCTAGGGGCGCTAGAGCGTCACATCTGACGACCTACCCCTCCCTCCCATCACTTACCATGGCGAAGATATCCTATCGATTCGCACAGACGGATGTCGAGCAGGGCAGTGATCGCAAGAGGGTGCGCGATGGATGGAAAAGCATGGCGTAGAAGAGCACGGCAGAGCATAGCATGTCATAGCATGGCGTGGCGTTGCGTAGTACAGCATTGCGTCACAAAGCATAGCAACACAGCATGGCATCGCGCAGCGGTGCACAACACAGCATCGCATTGAATGCCGTGGCATGGCACCAGACGACTTGGCGGGTAAGTGGCACGTCTACGAGAGGACAGGGCCTGTCCGGAATGCCGGCTCCATGTCCTCCGCAACCGTGTTTGCTCGATGCGGGCGCTTTCAAATGCCAAACGCCGTCCAGAGGCGACGGAACGAGGCCAGCGCTGCAGCGGGAACACGATTTTGAATGACCGAAGCGCGAAAATGAGGGCGGCGCTGCAGCGGGAACACAAATTTGGAAGAACCTGAACCGACCAGATTGCAAAAAAAAATCCTGGCGAAGGACCCAACCATATGCAGTTGTGGGTACCGCCTATGGGGCCACGCAGCGCTGGGTGGGGGGGAACGCATGCGGGCGGTAGCA